ATGAGCCACTCTGTCTACAGGAAAGCTACCCATACAGATGCTTACTTGAAACCGGATTCCCACCACCATCCATCCCAGAAGAACTGCCTCATCAAGACTCTATACCATAGAGCCCAATGCATTTCCGACCAGGAACACATTACCAGTGAACTCAAACACGTACACCAGGCTCTCAGGGCTAATGGCTACTCCGACTACACAATCCGCAAAGCCATCACTCCAGTCATGAAGAAGGATCCTCTTGTGGAGCCACTCAAAACCATCACCTTACCCTACATTGCAGGGGTCACTAAAAAGATCTCCAAAATCCTGAATAAACACAAGATCCAGGTCCGATTCAACACAGTACACAAAATCCGTGATTTAGTTCCATCTGTAAAAGATGCTCTTCCAGACATACAGTACCCGGGCGTTTACAAACTAAAGTGCCTCTGTGGTAGTAGCTACATTGGAGAAACCAAAAGACATATCTCGGATCGCATCCGCGGACATAAAGCAGACTTGAAACACGGTAAGACGAACTCCTCTGCCGTGGCAGATCACTGTTACAATTCAGTGGGCTCACATGACATTGACTTCTCCAAGACGGAGGTTCTTTGCAAACCAACTGGCTACCATGAGAGATTCGTTCATGAGGCCATTCACATATACAAGCACAGAGACAATTTCAACCGAGAAGATGGATTCAGGCTCAGTAACCACTGGAAAGATGTGTTAAATCATTTCTGTTCTTAATTAATTGTAATTTTACGATGACCTTCAGACCGCAGCTCTTTCGCCAGCATTGCCTCTTAATACCTCTCACACCACGGTTAATGGTATGGTTTACAACATGGAGTATACTAGGGCTTCGCAGCTGTCTCTCTCCCCCTCCTCTGTTCCGACCATGGACGAACTCGTCCGTCTGAACGGGGCCCGTAGCTATCCGTGGTACGGAAATTTGAGGGTAAGAATCCACCCATTTTTTCGCCATATAGCATTGTGTTATATAACGACTTATGGTTGGTAGCTTAGCTGATTGGAGAATATAGAGTTTATTGATAACATGAAGGTAATTTATATTTTAGTTTTTATTGGTTCACTATATAGTACTGTGAATAGCTCAGATTTGTAGTCATTTCTGTGACCAGTCACTAGCAAATCACCCAGTTATTTCCATGCTAAATTCGCCTAGTTATTTCAATGCTAAATTCTCCTGTTTTGATTTGTACTAAGTGCCTCGGTGAATGTGTATGCTCTGACTTCAACGTAACTATTTCTGTAGCAGTTACAAGCGAATGCCTTAATTTAGCTATTTCAATGCTAAATTCTATGCCAATTCCTTTTAACAATGGGTGCCTCTGCGGATGTGTATGCTTTAACTTTTAACATAGCTATTTCTGTGACCAGTCACAAGCTAATCATTCAGCCTTTTCAATGCTAAATTTTATGCTAATTCCTTCGTCAAGGCTCTTTGTTCCTCTCACACAGCTTAAAAGCCGTGATCTGAACGTGGCTCTCTCACTCCAGCGCTGTCCTACCAGACAGTCTCGCTCCCTTCACCTGATGAAGGCCGCTTGTGTTGTGGCCGAAACGTCGTGAGAATATTATTGTTATTTTATTTTATCAATTTATTATTTTATTCTCATTCTACGTGACTTTACCGAAAGAACCAAAGAAGATGAATCATTGCAGTCACGAAAGCTTTAAATCGAAATTTAACCGCCTCTACGGGGAGGGATTCCACACATCCTTAAGATCATTCAACAGACTTCGGGATAAGAAGGCTCAACTAATCGAGTCTCTCACCTTTCTGAAGAGATGCCGCGACTCTAAGGTAATACCAACCGCATTTACACTAACCTCTGCTGTTGCAACTTCTCTCAATGCAAAACGAATTCTAGCTAGAACTAGCTTCGCTCTTATCTCGGAAAAAATCAGACTTACACGCACCGAACTCGATCAGTTAGACAAGACACTCTACAAATCACACTTAAAATTGACAGCAACAATGTCTACATCGGATTGGGAACATGTAGACAATATGACTACCTCTTTGGCTGCCACTATGTCGAACAAATGTAGGGACAATTTGATTTCCAAATTCAATCACCTCTCCAGCAAAAAATCGGATCCACACACCGAAAAGATAGACGTCAACAAAGTCGTAATTAATCGCAGTAACAGTTCCATTTCTGATGGTCTGAAATCCGTTTTAGCTAAAGGTCTAAACTTTGCTGTCACACCGAGACACTTACCGGTTAATGATATCATTGCCCATGTCGACGTTGCACTCAAGGGCTTGAGTCACATCTCTGCAGACGTAGCAAGATCTGAAATCGCTGCAACCCTCAAAAACGCTAAGTTGCCACCTAGCAACATCAGCAAAGACGAACGTTTTGAATTATCTCAATTAAAAAAGAGGGATGATATTGTCGTTCTCTCAGCCGACAAAGGCAATGCCACTGTCATCATGGACAAAACAGAATATAACAACAAAATTCAAGAACTACTCAACGATGGCAGCTATACAAAAATAAAAAGAGATCCCACCAACAGCCTGGTCACCAAAACGAACAAAATTATCTCTGATTCAACAGCATTAATTGATGAGAACAAACAGTTCTTGTTGAAACCCTCTGCTGCCAGACCACCAAGATTATATGGCCTTCCAAAGATACACAAAGAAGATACACCCCTTCGTCCCATCGTCTCTACTATCAGCTCCCCCACCTACAAACTGGCACGTTTTCTGGCTGATATACTGCGACCTTTCACTGGAAAAACCACCTCTGCGGTACTAAATTCTACTCACCTGGTATCGACAATCAAAGACATTTCCCTGTCCCCAAACGACCTGCTTGTCAGTTTTGATGTGGTGTCCTTGTTCACCAAAGTCCCGGTACCTGACACCATCGCTATCATTGAAGACCTGGTTCATCAAGGACTGCATACTGATGTACCCCCCCTGGTAAGACATTGCTTAACCAACACATACTTCACCTGGAATGGAACTTTCTACAAACAAACTGAGGGCACCCCAATGGGCTCCCCCCTATCTCCGGTTGTAGCCAACGTATTCATGGAAAAATTTGAAACTGACGCCATCCAGACTGCCACTCTACGCCCGACCTTATGGAAGAGGTACGTTGATGACACCTTTGTCATCTGGCCACATGGCCAGCCTGCTCTAGACCAATTCCGCGACCACATCAATTCCATACACCCAGCCATCAGATTTACCATGGAGGTCGAAAAAGATGGCAAACTACCCTTTCTGGATGTCTTAATTAAAAGGAGACATGATGGTTCAATGAGCCACTCTGTCTACAGGAAAGCTACCCATACAGATGCTTACTTGAAACCGGATTCCCACCACCATCCATCCCAGAAGAACTGCCTCATCAAGACTCTATACCATAGAGCCCAATGCATTTCCGACCAGGAACACATTACCAGTGAACTCAAACACGTACACCAGGCTCTCAGGGCTAATGGCTACTCCGACTACACAATCCGCAAAGCCATCACTCCAGTCATGAAGAAGGATCCTCTTGTGGAGCCACTCAAAACCATCACCTTACCCTACATTGCAGGGGTCACTAAAAAGATCTCCAAAATCCTGAATAAACACAAGATCCAGGTCCGATTCAACACAGTACACAAAATCCGTGATTTAGTTCCATCTGTAAAAGATGCTCTTCCAGACATACAGTACCCGGGCGTTTACAAACTAAAGTGCCTCTGTGGTAGTAGCTACATTGGAGAAACCAAAAGACATATCTCGGATCGCATCCGCGAACATAAAGCAGACTTGAAACACGGTAAGACGAACTCCTCTGCCGTGGCAGATCACTGTTACAATTCAGTGGGCTCACATGACATTGACTTCTCCAAGACGGAGGTTCTTTGCAAACCAACTGGCTACCATGAGAGATTCGTTCATGAGGCCATTCACATATACAAGCACAGAGACAATTTCAACCGAGAAGATGGATTCAGGCTCAGTAACCACTGGAAAGATGTGTTAAATCATTTCTGTTCTTAATTAATTGTAATTTTACGATGACCTTCAGACCGCAGCTCTTTCGCCAGCATTGCCTCTTAATACCTCTCACACCACGGTTAATGGTATGGTTTACAACATGGAGTATACTAGGGCTTCGCAGCTGTCTCTCTCCCCCTCCTCTGTTCCGACCATGGACGAACTCGTCCGTCTGAACGGGGCCCGTAGCTATCCGTGGTACGGAAATTTGAGGGTAAGAATCCACCCATTTTTTCGCCATATAGCATTGTGTTATATAACGACTTATGGTTGGTAGCTTAGCTGATTGGAGAATATAGAGTTTATTGATAACATGAAGGTAATTTATATTTTAGTTTTTATTGGTTCACTATATAGTACTGTGAATAGCTCAGATTTGTAGTCATTTCTGTGACCAGTCACTAGCAAATCACCCAGTTATTTCCATGCTAAATTCGCCTAGTTATTTCAATGCTAAATTCTCCTGTTTTGATTTGTACTAAGTGCCTCGGTGAATGTGTATGCTCTGACTTCAACGTAACTATTTCTGTAGCAGTTACAAGCGAATGCCTTAATTTAGCTATTTCAATGCTAAATTCTATGCTAATTCCTTTTAACAATGGGTGCCTCTGCGGATGTGTATGCTTTAACTTTTAACATAGCTATTTCTGTGACCAGTCACAAGCTAATCATTCAGCCTTTTCAATGCTAAATTTTATGCTAATTCCTTCGTCAAGGCTCTTTGTTCCTCTCACACAGCTTAAAAGCCGTGATCTGAACGTGGCTCTCTCACTCCAGCGCTGTCCTACCAGACAGTCTCGCTCCCTTCACCTGATGAAGGCCGCTTGTGTTGTGGCCGAAACGTCGTGAGAATATTATTGTTATTTTATTTTATCAATTTATTATTTTATTCTCATTCTACGTGACTTTACCGAAAGAACCAAAGAAGATGAATCATTGCAGTCACGAAAGCTTTAAATCGAAATATATACATTACATCAGTAATATGCTTTAAACAAGATTATCACACTACAGCTATTATATCGGCCATGTTAAATTCGTAACCACTTAACTTGCTCCATAACAGACTCTAACCTTATCTTTCAAGACAACTAGGATGCTCGTGTACGAATTCGTAATCAGTCGTGTGGACTAGTGCAACAGCATCTCCGGCTATGCCAGTGCTGTGCATCTGCATCCGCTCCAATCGGTGGAAAATGCTGCGGCTCGCCCGACAGTTCACAAGTCCAAATATGATCCCATCGCAACCTTGCTATCGGACGAGTTATATTGGCTACTTATCAAGCGTAAGATTATTTATAAACTATGCCTACTCGTCAACGAGGATCTGCACCAATCCGCTCCATCCTGTCTCGCAGAGCAGTGCTTACCGGCCTGAATGGACCCCAATTGAAGGCATCTACGAACCGCAGCCTACGGAGATCTGCTGCTGTACCTGCGCACAAACCTTGTGCAGTGATATGGCCAGCGCAGCAGTGTCTGGGTCTCTGGCCCGAAGACCTGGAACCAGTTACTGATACAAGTTCGAGATCCATCCTTGAGTCTGAGCCAGTTTTGTAGCAGACTTAAAAGTATTCTTTGGGTCTTTCGGTAAAGTCACGTAGATAGGTTCAAGGAAAATAACAAAAACTATGACGTTTCGATCGCAACACAAGCGGTTATCATCAGGAAAAGGGGGTTAGCCTCTAAAGGCAAACTGTTTATAAAGGTTTGAAATGGACCCATTTCAAATGACCGCTTGTGTTGCAATCGAAGCGTCGTAGTTTTTGTTATTTTTCCTTGAACCTATCTACGTGGCTTTACCGAAGGACCCAAATAATGTGAATTCCTGCATTCACGAAAGCTTTAAGTTATTCTAAAGAGCTAACTATGTGATCAGTGCATCACATTTGTGAACTTGACTCATAAGAGTGCACAATAACAAGTGTCCCATCTTACTAATGCATGGATATGGACACAGATTTTTGCACATAGGAACCCAAATGTCATTTGGAGTCCACGAAAAATTACTCTAGCTGAGTGTCATTACTGGCCATGGCTCACATGAGTGACGGGCGATATCTGAATCAAACCTGGGTGCTCGCATCACCAACCCACACTGAACAACGTGGTGCAGTATGGTCAAACAACTCTCATGGCCCGCACGGCACGAGGAGGCCCTCATCTGGCAGTGGACTGGCAAAAGTGCTGTGTACGTACAAAATAAGTACGACCATAAATTGATGGTCTGGAAAACTGTCACGAAAGCTGAACTGTATCATAGCCAGGACTTAATTTTTTCACTGAATCTTTTCCGGGTCGCTAGTAGACTGGAGTAGGTGCGTGGCAAGTAGCCGCAGCCATTTCAAGAGGTATACTGGATGTGGTGTGCCGGATGTGGAGATATTTTGTAGGTTAGCAACCTGGAAAGATCCTGACTGAAATTCAAATCAAGATTGAAATACAGCCCTGCACACAGCTGGGGTTGCCACCTCCAAGGTACAAAAACTGGGACACATCACACGGGCAGGTACTTACCTCAAGAGCCAGGCAGAGCCGCCCATTAGCCAGCGACATGAGCATGTGTGTGAGGAGACCGAAGCACGGAGGTGACACGCACATCTCACCCTGCACTCACGCACGGTACATGACAACTTGCATGCACGCCGACTTATACAGATACCCCCAGCAGCCTACGCAGTGCACTAAACTTACACATGTACACACTGCATAGGTTACACATGTTTAAACATGCACACACCAGCTTACACTGATGTTCATACATGCAGGTCACTGCACACTGCAGCTTACACCGGAACACACTACCTAGCTGACACATTCACCAGCTTACACGTGCACATGCTAACGACACACTGGCAAGTCACTACCCTACACGGGAACACACAGCGTGGGGAAGCGTTCATCCAGCAATGGACTGACAAAGGGCTCTTATGATATTTCGTCTATGAACACCATGACTAAGGGTGGTAAAACATTAGCGTAAATATGCATTTGAACAAATTCATATTAATGGGTTTCTGTCATTTCGTAGGAACATTACCTTGGGGTCTCCGAGAGCCGCATCATAGCCAGCAGATACGAGAACCAGCTGCGGACTGAACTGCACGCACACAGGCAACCACGTGAGCATGCAATCAGCACATCTGCAGAAATTCTGTCACGAGGTGGTATAATGGGAGGGTGTTGAACAGGCCCTACAGGAACTGGCAGTTATACTGTGTAGGTTTTGTGCTGAACAGCGGAAGCAACCAGCACGTGGAGCAAAATGTCAAACGGTGCCTAGAAACGTGTGGTTCAACTCTAATACACACATCGGAGAGGCACCTGTCAGTGCCAGGACAAAGCTCTGAGGAGTGGACAGATGATCAAGTCTACGCAGGAACTGTCACTGTTGTGTTCGGCTTGCTACTCAATAAACCCAGTGTTCAATTTGGGAGTGGGAACCAGCAGGTCGGACATTCACGAATTTAACGACTGCAATGAGTGGCAGGTACTGCCACACCCAGGGGCCTATTGTATCTGGCACCCTCTCAGCAACAGCTGAGAGGGTGCCAGATATTGCGGATGCTGAACACGGTTCAACCCTGCAGCGCAGACACCTTTCGAGAGCACTGTCACATCGCTCCACAGAACGTGCATTGCATTGCATAAATATCTTGTAGAGCAGTGTTCTCCGTTGCAAGGCCCGCGTGCCACTGGCGGCCCCTGGTAGTCTTTAGTGTGGCCCTCGATAATGCGCAAATGTGAAAACGCCCCCCGGCACCGTGCTGTCGCAAACCCCAATGGTTTCAAATGTGTGGCAGTCCTCGCACTGATGATGTGTTTGTTAATGGCGATAGTGGGCCCCCCTCTGAAAATTTGTGAAGAACAGTGGTGTAGAGTAAGTCCTCCACGTTGGGGATGCGCTCTTGGAAAACGCGACGTTAGCCAAAACAACGAACATCGAAACATACTTTCGCACCGACTTAATTATATAAACTTAGGATGCGTTCCTGGGGGGTTATTAATTGGTGCAAATTTTCAGAAAAAAAAATTTAGTAAAAAAAAAGATAACAAAAGATACCCAAAAAGTTATTATAACAAGTTTAATTGTCGGCTATAAGTGACTACAGAGTATTCACCAGAGATGGTGGCGCAAGATTGCAATGAGAGAGAGCAGTATAGTAAAGGCTGAGGCTGTAGCGCACGCTAGGGGGAGCACGCTGCCAAAACTACTGCGTTCTTTTATTTCAATTAAAAAAACTGCATTATAGTGAATCAATGCATTTTAACTAAAATTACGTTCCCCAAGTCGTTGGGGAACGTAATACATTAATAGTGAAATAAAATAAATAGCAGCAAACGTAAATAGAGGACTTCCTGTAACAATTAAATAAGCTGCTTTTATTTATTAGATTCAAGTAACGTATAGTGGATCCATGAAGCCACTCTTACGCTTTATTTAAAGTGTACATGCTACTGGCAAGCCTGGACTACCCTTGTCAACCTGTGAGGTATGTGAAGGGGATTGATTTACTTATGATGTATAAAAAGGGAATTAATTAATAAAACCAGGACATCTTCCTCTAAAGAGAACTGAAAAAGCAATGGGATCAAACTTTTTTTACAATTGGAAGCACCACCCAGTTCAGTACTTATTTCCACCAATGGGTGTGTGACGTGGTTTGGAGATGTGGAATCATGTTGGTGCCATGCCACTTGGGTGGGAGGACAGAGCTCGGGACCTCCGAGTGAAAACATGAAGACCAAGCGGACTGGGCGGAGGTTTTCCACTGGTGTCTTGTGCCGACGCCGTGACATTGCCGGGTCATTGCGAGATCATCACGGGAGTCCTCGCGGACGTAACAACCGAACGCGGGGACATTAACTCGCTCATTTAAAATTCCTGTCAGGAAGGCTGTGCTTGTATTAAGATGATAATGCTGATGATTAAAATTTTCAGAAAAAAAAAAGCGTTGATCTTTGGTCTAACCTAACTGGCACTGTTAAACACTGTTAAAAACAAACAATATTATAAGACCGCTTCCCTACCCGCAAATCATGGGAGAGTAGGGAGGCAGTGAGACCACAGCCTCATGGAGCATGGGGACAGATCCCGGTCCCGGTATTGTGCTGGGACTGAGCTGGCAGAAGCCTGGTTCCCAGTGGTCATAGAAATGCATCGTTTTCTAGGCATGCGTGAAAGCGTCGTAGGATGCGTTCCGCATTTGATTCTTGAAAATAGATGCTAAAGGAATGCCTTTAAAGGTTGAAGCGAGTGGGGGCTGGCACCTGATAAGCCACGGGCATGAGGATCTGCTGAAAGGCGGTCACGTAATCCGCGTCGGACATTCCTGTCTGCAACACAAATAAGAAAAAACACACACAAGGAGAAAAAAAGCAAGCGTATGCATGGATTATATAACGTGCATTTGTGTTTGGAAATATTTCATTAAAAAACAGCACGCCGACGGGTAGCGGTCAGGGCAAAAAGCGTACGCGTATTTTGCAGGTGGTCGTTTTCACGTTGGTTTATGTCTACGGTTTGTGCTATTTTGGCTAGTTTTCTACAGGACAAGTCCCGAACAGAAACACAAAAATGTATAAAAATGATAATGTATATGTAGTGTAATAGCGGCGGCTGGTCCCCAGCAGCGGCGACTGCGGTGGACAAACAGTACACACGCCGGTGAGCATATACACGGCTGTGTGTGTCGGGAGGGCGGAGGAACTGGGGCAAGGGTCATGGAAGACCCCATCTGGAAGCCCCTGGAACCTGCTAGTGGATTCCAGAAGGGAGGCTCGGCCAGGGCAGAGCCAGACCACGCTGAGTAGCATAAAAGGAGCTGAGAGCGGGAGCTCAGGGCTGCCGGTTCTGGGAGTGGACTCGTCTCGTTGTCGCTGCCGTCTTCGCTAGATATTGCGCGGCCGGAGAGTTGTTGGCTGTCTCGGTCAGCGCCATCAGTGTTACACGGTCAGAGTTTTGTTTAGGCTAGGCTAGACGACTAGGGAGAGTGCGAGGGCAAACCTGTGAAGTGTGAAGGTGTTAATAAAGAAGGTACCTCCTGGAAAACCCTTGTCTCCGAATCACTGACACTACATATTATGATCTGCTTTAAAAAGTTACTAAGCCTCCCTCCCTGCCCCTGTTCGACAAATGAACATAGTTAATGGAAAAAAAAAACGTTATACCATGTATAGAAAGCATTATAAAGCATTTTAAAAAGAGACAAATGCATGCACAGCCAGCGTAACGCAAACACAAATGAAAATCCAACGTTGACCCCCAAGCCTTGTGAACAGGTGTATTGGGAGAGTTACCCGAGACCAGGGCAGGTTGATGTTGAAGCCCTTCGCGATGCCGCGTCCCACAGCCGTGACGTCGCCCTCCGACAAGTGGGGCCAGAAAGCCCCCCCTTCATGACGGTGCACGGAGAAGTAGAGCACCCTACCCAGAGGAGATTACACACACAGAAGGCATGAAAACACCACTGCTGCCCTCCACCACCGGGATTTAATAATACATCGTCATGATGTTTTATTCGATACTTAACTAATCATTGTCACGTATATTCTCTCATTTGTATCGTCTCATTTGTTATCTCAATTAATCAGTCTCATTTTTGCCATCTTATCCATCCTATCGGTGCTGCATTGTCTTGTCCTCAAGGAGGATTTCTCCACAAATCTGGCTGCGGCCTGATGATGCCGGTTGTAATTACTGGCGAAACGTCGTACTCAGATTGTAAATCTTGATTTGAAGCTTTCGTGACTGCAGGAATCCATACTCTTTGGTTCTTTCGGTAAAGTCACGTAGGTATTTTATTTTATTTTATACCTACGTGACTTTACCGAAAGAACCAAAGAGTACAGATTGTAAATGTTGTGGCTTTGCTTTCTAACACACCGGTGTGCTGTACTAGTAACGAATTGGCATGTTCTATTTACATGACAACCCTTACTAGTTGGCTGTGTCGGGTGGTGGCGGGTTTAACGACACATTTATATATTTACGTGATCTAACCAAAAAAACATGTATTATGGTTGTCCTGTCCTGTCTTATTGTTCTTCATTTGCTCTGTCGTTTGTAATGTCTGTTTTTTTTTGTTTCATTTGTTCCATTAGCCCAATAGTGATATCTGCATTTTATCTTCACAAACTGATGTTTTTGATTTGTGCGTTGCATGTCATGGTTTCACATCTCACCGAGTCACTAGATGCCACCACGATCACCATAATTGAAACAAAAGGAAAAAAACCGTGACATGGACAGCCCTTTATCAATCCACTGCTGTAGGAGAGCCTCTCCACACTGTGGGGGTTATTTAACCATACATTACCGTGCTGGTCACTGCGGGTTGGTAAAGGTTTGAAACTTGGATATTGGAGCATATCAGTAAATCACAGCAAGGGGATATTTCTGCACCATCTTCTGCTCATAACAAAGCAATAGATCAGCCTACAACACCTGGTTTATGCATAGTGGTTGTCCATCTAAGCACAATCCAGAATCAAGCCCTGCTTAGCTTCCGAGATGTGATATTTGGTAAATTCCAGACAAAATATCAGTTCGTATATCATAGTGGGGGGAAAGGGAGAAATAATGATACAATTATTATTTTTATAATACCCCTATCTAGGAGTGATTCAAGTATTAAAATTCAAGAGTGAATATTCAGGCACTGTTATGTGTGTAGGTATAGTAGAGGCACCTGGGATCATCTTGGAAGGTGTACTGAATTCCCTGTCCGTGGTGAACATCCCAATCCACAATCAGCACCCTGGACACACGCAAGCGCACACATGGCACCCATCACATGTACAGGCAAAATGTCCCCGACAACCGGCGAAGAATTACATTCCTGTCAGATGCACACCACCCCGTTCTAAGCTCTCGAGGTACTCGCAAATGCTGACCCGTATCCGCAACACACCTTCCCTGTGTTTTCATCCACCTACAAAGACACTTCGACTCGCTCCGTGTGCGGCTCACCTCTGCAGCTGGTGCTGTGACAGCGCGTATTGGGCTGCAATGGCGACATTGTTGAAAATGCAGTAACCGTTTGCCAGGTCCCTCTGGGCATGGTGTCCTGGAGGTCTGTAATAGACACGGCATCGTTAGCCACTCACCACATGTATTAGCCACTCCCCCGTACGGAAACGCTACTTGCTCGAAACACAATTAAACTGCCCACGCGCTCCGCATACTATACAATTGCCAAAAAACAAGGTAATCTACTCGCTACACAACAACATTGCCCAAAACCAAATTTCCCCGAATGCATCCGACCTCATCAGATCTTCAAAGCTTAGTGGGGTTGAGCATGATTTGTACCAGCAGGGTCTGCCAAGTATTGTAGGCATGGGGCTGTGAGGTGCATGCATTTTCTCTGGACTATCTGGTTTAACCTATGTAAAAAAAATATAAAAACTATAAACAATTTTCATTTTACCAGCTATGGCCTACTGAGCTCTATAGCTCATTTTCAGAAGCAAGCTGGCCACACATCATAGCTCAATGAAGTGGCTTATCATCACGTGGAAATATACAGCTGCAAAAATACTCTTAACGCAGATTTCTATATTTGGAGAGAAAAACCGGTGGACCCGGTGAAAAATCTACGCGACCACGAAGAGAACATGAAAACTCCAAATATGAATCATCAGGGTTGGCATCGAACCCACGACCTCCTGTATACCAGGCAAGGTAGTTAACATCTCGCCACCGTGGCACTCAATATGCAAATTGCTCATGACTAGACTTGAACAAATCCATTAGCCAATTCCAATGCAGCAACCTCTTGAAAAAATAGGATTTGGCTACGTACGGTGCGAAAGAATTTCAGCATACATACATTTCATGGAAACTCAACATCTTATTTATTTTTACCCGTCACAGAGCAGCACTACCCCATTTCACCATCGAGTAATATTGCATACTCACCGCACAAGTGCAAACCCATTCCTGAGGTCCCCCGTCAACACACGTTCCACCAACTGCAGCACACTGCCCACCGCTAGCAGTGCGCCGTCATACGAGCCCTGGCACGCCCGGTTACACACAGACACACCCCGTTCAGCCGGTGCACACCGGGATGTCGTCATCTGAGTGTTGGTACAATGCTCAGGCACCCACCTTGTGGAGATACACCGAGTCGAATGTGTCTGACAGGGACTTCCGCTCCTGATCCGACATTTCAGCTGTGGATTGCATCATGCGTATGTACTCCTGGCTGGAACACGCACACACCGCACACGTTGCACGTTTGTTCCAGAACACGCTCACCTCTCCAAGAAACTCAACACATTACACAATAACAAAGTGGCCTTAAAAGGAAAAATATATAAGAGGTGACAATTCGAGCAATGGCCCTACATACTACAACAGCAGTGTTATTAACAAATTCGATTAAAAATAATTCGTAATTTCTTCAAGAGGATGCACTGAACATCAAAGACAAACCATAAACCGGTCTCCAGAATGAATAACATTAAATCTGTACAATTTACCACCCACCCAACCTGAGACTTTATGAATTATCAATGTTTGGGGTTATTATTCCACTGCACAGTTTGTCTTTTTTAATCTGGTTTGCACTCTCTTGTTAATGTTGTTCCATTTGTAGTTTGTCTCATTTGAATGGGATTTACTAGTGGAGCCATTTGCACCATCTCAATCTTTCAGACCGTTGGCAGAAAGGAAATCCACAACATTTGAAAACACATGCACTAAGCGAATAAATACACAATGGGCATAAGAAGCAATATGCATTTTTTGGTTCTTTCAGTAAAGTCACGTAGAAGGGAAACAATAAAATAATAAAAATATAAAATAAAATTATCACGACGTTTCGACTGCAACACAAGCAATCATCATCAGGTGTGAAAACCACAGCAAGAAAATTTGAAAAAATATAACATTTTTTGCTGTGGTTTTCACACCTGATGATGATTGCTTGTGTTGCAGTCAAAACGTCGTGATAATTTTATTGTTTTAGATTTTTATTATTTTATTGTTTCCCTTCTACGTGACTTTACCGAAAGAACCAAGAATATGAATCCCTGCAGTCATGAAAGCTTTAAATCAAAATATTAATTTCATTAAGTGTTACAAGCCTACTGTGCAGAGGAATTAAAATCTACAAAAATACTTTACAGCCCTTTGTCAATCCACTGCTGGATTAAGGCCTCCCCATCCCACGCAGGTTGTTCAACCATACTTGACCATAGTTCACCATGCTGGTCAATGGAGACCGGATTAGATATTACTTGCCACTGATGTTTTAGCAGTTGACCAGAATTAAACTTTGGCCTCCCGGTTCATACAGAGAGCAGTGTGAAAACCGCTGCATCACTGCTCCACTCCTACAGGGTACTTTTTAATTCACTCGCGCAAGATGAACGCTATGTGCGCCGTGTGAAACGTGTGCCATGTAAGCTGTGAGGTGGTGTTCCGTGCAATACCTGTGACAAAACATCAGCTCCTCCACTGAGGCCATTCTGGGCTGGACACACAACCATGCACATAACACAGGCATGAGCTTGTGCACAAACATACGGAGAGGTCCTGCACAGGGCATCAATCGCTAAAATAGTCACAATAGCACTTAGAAAAACAACACACACAGCACAATGCCTGGCTGAAAGCGAGGGGATAGCCTTGCTCTTCTGACAATTTGAAAATCATTGCGCTAATGCCATTATTCAAGACGATGGGAAAAAAAAAATTGCGTTTTTCTTTGCAGCTGTCAGTGCATAAGCCAGTGTCAGCAAATTGCCCTGGAAATTACACCAAAGAACCCCTCTTGAAGCCTTTTCAACAGAGCTATTCATCCAAACCTGGGTCACACCTTTTAAATTCCTGTAAATATTTTACGTAGCATATCAAACTACCACTTTACATAGCTGGAATAAGGCAAAACCAAGGAATAAATTTGTTCAACATGATGAGTTTTCTGTCCAACCATAGGTCAAGAAAAAGACAAAGATCCCCCATATAGCCTTTACAGACTTTTGTGGACAAGTGCTGTTAGTGAGCACCTCATGAAGGTTGGCACAGTACATGAAGGAGTAGGTGGCCAGCACCACGCCCGACCGCCGTTGTCTCCCTAGTGGTGATGTTTACACACCACACCACGAGGTACTCATTTGAGGCTAAGTAAACCTAGGAGTAGACCGGTTCAAATCATTGTCACTGGTGTTGGTCATGAATGGGAATCGAACTCGGGTCACTGGATTCATAGCGCAACACGTTAACTGCTACACCACCACTCCCCAAAGCCATAGGTTAACAGGCTGAGATCAACTCGACACCTGAGATCTGGATTCAAAGCCAGGTTTTCAACGGTGCCAACTGTGTGCTGTATCTTCTGGACTACTCAGCTTTCCAACTTGGGTTCAAACCGTGACTGCATCAGCTCTGTCCATCTGTCCGCAACTTTGGGTTACAATAACTCTCGTAAACGTTATTCAATATGAAAGACATTTTATTTTTAAGTTGTGTTACTATTGGAGACTGACCCTGAAGAAAATTGCTCAAATTAATCAAAAGGTTGCTGCGAAGCTCGGAAGGTAACAATGTTGCCAACTAAATATTAACGCAGTCAAAAAGCATGCTCGACTGTGTTACAGAACGCATGCGTATGCATGAATTTGCTTCCTTGCTAACCATGAGCTGCAGCTCATCTACTGGTTCCGGTGTTGAGAATGCGGTGGTGTCACCACCGTGCCAAGATTGCCCACCTCCACAACAGAGCAGCGGGGCACCAGCCCAGAGCGCGTGATGGATGCCAGCACTTCTTTCGCTCGCTCGGGGCACTCAACGTGGCTGCATCGACGAAGGGAGAACACCCACGCGTGAGTGACAACCACGCACTCGTACAGTCAAACTTATCTTATCCATGGTGACGTGTTACTGGCAGACTCTATTTCAGGTTTATGTTTTCCTGCCATTTGTAACACAGATCATGCCCAGAGGGAAAAACCATCCGAAGGCTAGAAGCGCTTGAGATTTGGTGTTTTGGAGGAGGACGGAATGGACAGGGAAATTTTGGAACAATAAAATGTTCAAAATAATGGGAAGCCAAAGCCTGATGCTGGATTGAGTCAGACAGAGGCAGCTGGCAGATATTATTTGGATGTGTAGTGCGAGGCTCGCGGACTATTGGGAAATCAAAGGCAGAAGAGCAAGCGGAGAAAAGTCGGACATGGCGGTGGTATGACATTAAAGAAGTGAACCGAACTCTTTAACACTTCAAGGTAAACAATAACAGCCTGTGCTGAGGGTAAGGACTGGCAAATATCGATTGTCTACATCCGAACTTGCGGCTGACACAGAAATATTTGAGGTTGAACATTACGAGTGTTTGTGGTTCACTGTGGAAACGTAATGAGCTGGGGAAGCACCTCTCCCAGGGGCAGGAGACTAGCTCCATGCGCGCGTCGAACACCAGGCCTGTCCCATACGCACACTCCACGTGCTGTGGCACATCCTGCAGACGCACGTGCAAGCATTCTTAAATCACACGTGCGTGCACATACAACATATGAAGTTTAACATGCATGCATACATACATACAGATTGTTGGAGCAAGTAATGTTAAGACAGTAGCTAGTAAGGCTGGCACAGCACACCTGAGGGGGTGGCGTGGCATGCACCAGGCTTGACTGCCTCTGTCTCCTCAGTGGCGATATTTACACACCACACCAGGTACTCATTAAAGGCTAAGTATACCTAGTGGAGGTACAGGACCAGCTAAGAAAATCGCCACTGATATTAGCTGCGGCCGGGAATCGCACTCCAGTCGCTGGGTTCGTAGCACGGTGCATTAACCATAATGCCACCGCCTCACCCTGCATACGCAACAACACAGTGCAACTTCAGTCTCAATGCTCTCATTCGTCTGCGTGTGTTTCTTTTCATGGGAGTGAATGTAAGGATGTGTGCGTTACCAGCTGGGCCATACGCCTCCCCATCCTGTCCTGCTTGACTTGAGCTATACGATCACTCTTCCGGCTCTCCTGTGACATCTTTTGCCTGTTCCTCCGCTTGCCACCCGCCTGTTATCCAAGGCACACACACATGTGAACACTCGCTGGCATAGGCATATGAGAGCTTCACTTGGAAACACCGCAGGTTCAACATGATCAAGTTGCCGTAGTCTACAAGTAGAGGTCACGCAGGGTTAATTTACAAAACTTCACCACGTTGGTTAATGCGGGTTGAAGACGAGGGGCATAGATGTCGGAGTATAGAGATGGAGTACAGCAATATATTTTGCCACACAAGTACAAACTGTTTGCATATTTGATCGGACATATTTAAATGTATAGGTCCTTTAAGAGAAATTTGACCTACTTGCAAACAATAAAACATGCGTAATTAAAATGTTGTTGGCTATGTGTTTAGAGGGGGGCAGTGGATAACGCACTGCGCTATGAATGTGGCCCCTGAGTTCGGCTTTATTCAATTCTTGACCAGCAGGACTGAGAGTTGGCCAAGCGCTGGTGAGGATTAACTTGCTGATTAACCCCTAATTAATGTATAATCTGTCGCGTGGTCATACCGACGATGGCTTCTCACGACCTCTGCCAGGACAATGATCCATTTTGCCAGCTCCTGCCAGACAAATGACAATTGGTTAAGTGTTGACATACCAACTGCTGACTAAAACACCACCTTGCTTGAATTTCCTGCTTAGTTCACTAAGCTTGATACGAGGAAACGTGTTTTTTTTAAAGTCTACTTTCATGAGAAATGGTTTAAATATTATACTTGGCTCCATTACAGCCCCTCCTTAAAGGGGCTCCTCTGTTTCTATTGTGCTAAATACTTTGCAACACAAAAGTCTAAGCTTGCGTCAAAAGCAGATTCAGCATTTGTCAAGAATGGCTTTCAAAATTGTAAGAAGGCAGTGGAGAAATATATCTTGATTTAAAGCTTTCGTGACTGCAGGGATTCATATTCTTGGTTCTTTCGGTAAAATCACGTATAAGGGGAACAATGATGATGATTGCTTGTGTTGCAGTCGAAATGTCGTGAGAATTTTATTGTTTTATATTTTTATTATTTTATTGTTTCCCTTCTACGTGACTTTACCGAAAGAACCAAGAATATGGAGAAATATAGTGCGCATACAGAGGGCCAGTATCACAAATTAGCTGTGGTGACTCAGATTCAGGAGCCAAAACCTGTTGATGTACAACTTTCACGTGAGCTTGAAAGCAGCAACAAGCGAAGAGAAATCGTATGAAGATTGTTGGGGGTGTCAAGTACTTGGCACTGCAAGGTCTGGCTTTTCGAGGAGTTGATAAGGAGAGTGGGAATTTCAGCCAGCTTCTAAAGTACAAGGCAGAGAGCGATGCAGAGCTGACCACCTGGCTGAAATGTCACTTTGATTTCACCAGTCCCCAAATGCAAACAAAATTTTAAGCTGGTGGGCAATACAATCCTTAAATAAATTGTCGGAAATAACATCAATACCAGTGGTCCAGTTCGCACTTATCATTGATGGCACCCAGGATATATCAGGAGTTGAGCAGGAGTCAATATATTTGCACTTTGTAGATGCAGATCTACAACCAAAGGATGAATTCCAGGGACTCTACGATGTGTCACCAACGACAGGGCAAAATATAGCCAAGACAGCATGTTATGTGATGATGCTCTCGGCCTTCCTCTGCCACAAATATGGCTGGACGATTGCAGAAGGTGCATGCCATTTTAAGGCAAGAACAACTGCTGGCTATGTATTGTCACTGTGGTCCACACTGCGTGAACTTAGTTACGCAGGCTGCATGTGTAGCCTCTCCACTAGTTAGATAATCAATGGGTCTGGTGCATGAATTTGGGGGCTTCTTTAATCAATCTGGCAAGTTCAAGGTGATTTTCCAGGAAATCACAAAATCAGAGCATGGTTTCACCTCGTTGAAACCTGTCCCACCAGGTAGACTGTTCGCACCGCTGCCATCTGCTTAGTTCTCAGCCTGTATGAGTCAGTGCTGACAGCCCTTGAAGAAATAGCATCATGCAGCTCATCTGACACTTCAACTGAGGCCAATGGTCTTCATGGAACATTTCTAAAAGGGAACACTGTGCTCGGCCTTGTAATGGCTGAAGACCTGATGGGGGATTTGGAGTGCCTGAACACCTCCCTGCAGCTAAGAAAACAGACTGTTTCAGGTATGTTGGAGGCTGTGGACCATGTCAAAACAAGCATGCAGGACAAGCGAACGGAGGAGCACTTTGATGTCTTGTTCACAAAAGCAACTGCTATGGCAACAAAGTTTTACCTACAACCTATTCAGATGCCTCGCATCCGCAAACCTACAAAACGTTACACTGGTCAGGCTGCAGCCCATATCCATCCGGATGCCTCAGTCTTTGTACAGAGCGCAATTCTACAACGCCTTGGACACAGTGAATACTCAATTCATAGAGGTTTGATGAAGCTGGATTCCACAAGCTGCAGCAACTTGAAATTGTGCTGCTACACAAAGACATGGACAAAGTGGTAGACGAGTATCCTGAATTGAATTCAAGACTACTGCAGGTGCAGCTGGCCATGTTTGGGGCTAATTACACATATAAAACGAGCACAGATGCTAGCATTATTAGGGAAATTGTGCCAGAGGTGAGAGGTCTCTTCAGTCAGGTGGAAGCTTTAGGAAGGCTTCTGCTGGTCGTCCCTACCTCCTCTGTAGAGGCTGAGAGGAGTTTTAGTGCCCTGAGGAGGCTTAAGACATGGCTTAGATCTTCAATTAGTCAAACAAGGCTGAATAATGTGGCCATGTGTCACGTGCACCAGGAAAAACTGGACAGACTGGACCTTGAAGGAATATGGCAGTCTTTTATCTGTCAACGATACGCGCATAAAGGCCTTTGGATCCTTTGCTTGAAGAATGGCAAGTCAAAACACTTGTCATTGCCTGGAGAGGAGATGAGAGGATAGGATAGGAGAGCAGAGGAATAGAACAGAAATGACTGCAGAGCAGTGGAGAGGAAAAGAGATGACTGAAGAGAGGAGAATATTGGAGCAGATGAGAGGAGAAGAGAGAGGGCTGGAGAGGAGAGCAGAGCAAACACCCCTGCTGCCCACCCAAGTTTACTTGTAAATATGTAAATAAAAACAACAATTTGCTAAACCTTGGCCACAATATCTGGACTTGTCTTCATATAACAATGCATATATTTCTGTTTATATGATTGTGGTTATGGTTGTACTTTATTAATCCCTAATCTCTGCCATTACATACAATGAAACAAGAAAACGTAAAAAAAAGAAATAAACAGAGCAATGTAATACAATACACAATTAGACATTATTGTAAAACAAATAAAAAGTCCATCCCATGGGTTAGTTATTTTAGGCAGGAATTTTTTTTCAAGTTTAGCTTTTTTATGGGGGGGGGGTATTGCTGGGGGAGTGTGGTATTGATGGATGTCTGTGGTATTGATGGAAGTGTGGGGTATTTCTGGGGGTGTGTAGTATTGCTGGGGGTTTGTGGTATTGATGGATGTGTGTGGTATTGCTGGGGGTGTGTGGTATTGCTGGGGGTGTGTGGTATTGCTGGGGAGTGTGGTATTGCTGGGGGAGTGTGGTATTGCTGGGGAGTGTGGTATTGATAGGGGTGTGTGGTATTGCTGGATGTGTGTGGTATTGCTGGGGAGTGTGGTATTGCTTGGGAGTGTGGTATTGCTGGGGGAGTGTGGTATTGATGGGGGAGTGTGGTATTGATGGGGGGAGTGTGGTATTGCTGGGGAGTGTGGTATTGATGGGGGTGTGTGGTATTGCTGGGAGTGTGGTATTTCTGGGGGTGTGTGGTATTGCTGGGGCAGTGTGGTATTGATGGATGTGTGGTATTTCTGGGGGTGTGTGGTATTGCTGGGGGTGTGTGGTATTGATGGGGGTGTGTGGTATTGATGGGGAGTGTGGTATTGATGGGGAGTGTGGTATTTCTGGGGGTGTGTGGTATTTCTGGGGGTGTGTGGTATTCCTGGGGGTGTGTGGTATTTCTGGGGGTGTGTGGTATTGCTGGGAGTGTGTGGTATTTCTGGGGGGTGTGGTATTGATGGGGAGTGTGGTATTTCTGGGAGTGTGTGGTATTGCTGGGGGTGTGTGGTATTGCTGGGGGTGTGTGGTATTGATGAATGTGTGTGGTATTGCTGGGGGAGTGTGGTATTGCTGGGGGTGTGTGGTATTGCTGGAGTGTGTGGTATTGATGGATGTGTGTGATATTGCTGGGGGTGTGTGGTATTGCTGGGGGTGTGTGGTATTGCTGGGGGAGTGTGGTATTGCTGGGGGAGTGTGGTATTGATGGAAGTGTGTGGTATTGCTGGGGGTGTGTGGTATTGCTGGGGGTGTGTGGTATTGCTGGGGGTGTGTGGTATTGTTGGATGTGTGTGGTATTGCTGGGGGAGTGTGTGGTATTTCTGGGGGAGTGTGGTATTGATGGATGTGTGTGGTATTGCTGGGGGAGTGTGGTATTGCTGGGGGTGTGTGGTATTGCTGGAGTGTGTGGTATTGATGGATGTGTGTGATATTGCTGGTGGTGTGTGGTATTGCTGGGGGTGTGTGGTATTGCTGGGGGAGTGTGGTATTGCTGGGGGAGTGTGGTATTGATGGAAGTGTGTGGTATTGCTGGGGGTGTGTGGTATTGCTGGGGGTGTGTGGTATTGCTGGGGGTGTGTGGTATTGTTGGATGTGTGTGGTATTGCTGGGGGAGTGTGTGGTATTTCTGGGGGAGTGTGGTATTGATGGATGTGTGTGGTATTGCTGGGGGAGTGTGATATTGCTGGGGGAGTGTGGTATTGCTGGGGGAGTGTGTGGTATTGATGGAAGTGTGTGGTATTTCTGGGGGTGTGTGGTATTGCTGGGGGAGTGTGGTATTGCTGGGGGAGTGTGGTATTGCTGGGGGAGTGTGGTATTGCTGGGGGAGTGTGTGGTATTGCTGGGGGAGTGTGTGGTATTTCTGGGAGTGTGTGGTATTGCTGGGGGTGTGTGGTATTTCTGGGGGTGTGTGGTATTGCTGGGGGAGTGTGTGGTATTTATGGAAGTGTGTGGTATTGCTGGGGGTGTGTGGTATTGCTGGGGGAGTGTGGTATTGCTGGGGGAGTGTGTGGTATTGCTGGGGGTGTGTGGTATTGCTGGGGGTGTGTGGTATTGCTGGGGGTGTGTGGTATTTCTGGGGGAGTGTGGTATTGCTGGGGGTGTGTGGTATTGCTGGGGGAGTGTGGTATTTCTGGGGGTGTGTGGTATTGCTGGGGGTGTGTGGTATTGCTGGGGGTGTGTGGTATTGCTGGGAGTGTGTGGTATTGCTGGGGGTGTGTGGTATTGCTGGGGGAGTGTGGTATTGCTGGGGGAGTGTGTGGTATTGCTGGGGGTGTGTGGTATTGCTGGGGGTGTGTGGTATTGCTGGGAGTGTGTGGTATTGCTGGGGGTGTGTGGTATTGCTGGGGGAGTGTGGTATTGCTGGGGGAGTGTGTGGTATTGCTGGGGGTGTGTGGTATTTCTGGGGGTGTGTGGTATTGCTGGGGGAGTGTGGTATTGCTGGGGGAGTGTGGTATTGATAGGGGTGTATGGTATTGCTGGATGTGTGTGGTATTGCTGGGGGTGTGTGGTATTGCTGGGAAGTGTGGTATTTCTGGGGGTGTGTGGTATTGCTGGGGGAGTGTGGTATTGCTGGGGGGTGTGGTATTGATAGGGGTGTATGGTATTGCTGGATGTGTGTGGTATTGCTGGGGGTGTGTGGTATTGCTGGGGGAGTGTGTGGTATTGCTGGGGGGGTGTGGTATTGCTGGGGGTGTGTGGTATTGCTGGGGGTGTGTGGTATTGCTGGGGGTGTGTGGTATTGCTGGGGGAGTGTGGTATTGCTGGGGGAGTGTGGTATTGCTGGGGGAGTGTGGTATTGCTGGGGGAGTGTGTGGTATTGCTGGGGGCGTGTGGTATTGCTGGGGGAGTGTGGTATTGCTGGGGGAGTGTGGTATTGCTGGGGGAGTGTGTGGTATTGCTGGGGGCGTGTGGTATTGCTGGAAGTGTGTGGTATTGCTGGCGGAGTGTGGTATTTCTGGGGGAGTGTGTGGTATTGCTGGGGGCGTGTGGTATTGCTGGCGGAGTGTGTGGTATTGCTGGGGGAGTGTGGTATTGCTGGGGGGGTGTGGTATTGCTGGGGGAGTGTGGTATTGCTGGGGGAGTGTGTGGTATTGCTGGGGGTGTGTGGTATTGCTGGAAGTGTGTGGTATTGCTGGCGGAGTGTGGTATTTCTGGGGGAGTGTGTGGTATTGCTGGGGGAGTGTGGTATTGCTGGGGGAGTGTGGTATTGCTGGCGGAGTGTGTGGTATTGCTGGGGGAGTGTGGTATTGCTGGGGGGGTGTGGTATTGCTGGGGGAGTGTGGTATTGCTGGGGGAGTGTGGTATTGCTGGAAGTGTGTGGTATTGCTGGAAGTGTGTGGTATTGCTGGGGGTGTGTGGTATTGCTGGGGGAGTGTGGTATTGCTGGGGGTGTGTGGTATTGCTGGAAGTGTGTGGTATTTCTGGGGGAGTGTGGTATTTCTGGCGGAGTGTGGTATTGCTGGAAGTGTGTGGTATTGCTGGGGGAGTGTGTGGTATTGCTGGGGGTGTGTGGTATTGCTGGATGACATGCTGGGTGGATGACGTGTGTGGCGTGCGGGTTGAGTGATGGAGCACCAAGTCAACAAAGCTGCGGGGTTACGTGTGGGTGCGTGAACGACTCGAGCAGTACCTGCCGCGGACATCAACAACAACAGCAGCCGCCGCCGCCGCCGCTCGCCACTAAGGTGGCCGTGTCGTCACCACGGCCCTTGTGCCAGGCTAAGTGCACCTCGAGTCGGCGGATCGCGCGTGCACCACAACCAAGCGACGGCCGCCACCTTTTTGTAAATCACAGTGCCCTTCGGCAGCCGCGAGCTCGCCGCTCGGCGCGATTGGACGGCCGCGCGCACGTGGCTCGCCGCGCGTGCACCGGACACCGCCCCCCCCCCGCCTGCCCCCCCCCCCACGCAAACACTGACCAATCGGAACGACCTCTCTCGTCCAGAATGGTGTGGCCAATCGGAAGGCCGAACGAGCGCGCGCGCGCCCACCCCCCCACCACCACCTCCGCTTGCGCGTGCGGACTGGGAATTGTGAAGCGGTGGCTGTGAGCGCGCGGGGGTGGTGGGGGGCCGGGGGAGGAAGGGAGGCGCGGGGGGATGGGGGGGTGGAGGGGGGCGGACCGGAAGGAGGGAGGGGCCACTGGGGGCAGGCGTCGGTCGCCATGGCAACGCCCGGTGCAGGCTCCGTCTCCTCATGGCGGCTTCGTCGTGGCAGCCAACTCCGTTCCAACTCGCATCAAGTCAAGAGGCGTTTATCTTTTAAAGCGCGTAGGTGTTCGTAGCCAATACTGTGCAATGATCCAAACGTGTTTAAATTTGGGTTATGCCCCGTGAACTATTTTCATCAAGTTAATTTCCCTCGTGATGCTCAACGCAGTTTTTGTCGTCGCATTGTCCGTGTTGAACTCGGCCATGGATCGCTTTCAGCCACCGGTGATGTAGAAGCTTTATTAGTCAGAATGCGATCGACACATTGGCGCGCATTAAGTCATATCTTCGTCCAAACGTGACAAGAATCTTGGAGTAAATATTTCATAGGGCCTAACCCAAAAATCAAGCATAGATCATGGTAGCTTTTCTCGTGCAATACATGTGTAGTGTCGTGCGTATCCTCGCTCGAGGCTTGTGTGTGCGTGCGGGTGGCGTGAGTCGCACACACACTCAGTCGGAGACGCGGTGGTCACGGTGGTCGCACGTGTTGTTGAGTTCACGTCGCCACCCGGGTCCACCCCCCCCCCTCTCTCTCACGAGCACGCTGCCGCACGACCCGTCCCAGACACGACCCTGTTCGCGTTGCACCGACGGCGTCGACCGGGACAAGCAACAACTGTCCGGCAGCGCAGTGATCGGGCGAAGGCGGCGACGACGACGAGACGAGTCCACTCCCAGGACCTGCAACCCGTCGCTCTCGCTCTCCACTGCTTATATTCCACTCGGCGCGGCTTGACTCCGCCCTAGCCGCGCCTCCCTTCTCGAACCCACAAAAAATTATTCTAGGAGCTTCCCCACGAGGTCTAGCGTGACCCTTGCCCCGGTTCCTCTGCCCTGCCGGCACACCCGTGTGTATGCTCAACGAAGTGTGCACTAAGTGCCCACCTGCAGTTGCAGCTGCTGTACAACAGTCAGCGATATGTCACTACACATGTGTAGTGACATGGAATGGGTCACTACAAAGCATAGCGTGGGTTGCTGGCAGAGAAGGGGATCTGCAGTTGCAGCAGCCCTGTCTGTCAGCAGGTCACGTGATAAGTCAGAGAGAGGGATGTTGGGGAAAGGTGATAGAGGTGTCACGTGAGGTAAACCTGGGAAACAGCGAGTAGGTTCTAGAAGGGGGGTGTGGCCACGCTGGGAGGATAAAAGGGGACCCCGAGCGAAGGCTCGGGGCTGTTGCTTGGAGTGGGATCCTGTCGTGCTGCTGGAGTCTTCGTCCTCTACGTCTTCAACTTCTCGGCGTCATCAGTCAGGCAGTCTGCCAGCTGTCCTGACTGAGAGTTGTAGTTACCTCTTGTGAGCTGTGAAGGCTGATAATAAATAGAGTGCCTCCTACTCCTAGTGTCTCTGAGTAGGTCACTATACATGTGTAGTGAGCGACTTCCGAGACACAACGTGTAGAGGGCTTCTTATTTATTCTCACACTTCAGGCACAAGCACTGGGCGACAATATACATACACGGCTATGCATAGCTGACCCATCTACACAGCCCCACCGTCGGCGTCTAACTATATAGCTGGCTGACTAATATAGCGACGACAATGGGAACCGTGCAGAGGATCGGCGATGGGGCCGGACGACGAAGAGACCCGGGACCCCATGTTAGCCCCAAACCCTTGGTCACACCCCCCTTATATACTTCCCGGCGTGGCTAGGCCCCGCCTCTGGCCACGACCCCTTCCAGAACCTCCAAGCAGGTTCCTGGAGCTTCCAGACTGACCCCGCCTTTTACCTTTAACCCAGTTACGCCCCTATTCTAGTTGGTTATTATATAACACACCATACTCGTGATTACCCCTCCTGCTCAACAGATGGCACCCTGTCATTACACGTAACAGACAACGGTTTAATCTCTGGTTCCTTCTTGATTTGAAGCTTTCGTGACTGCAGGAATCCACACTCTTTGGTTCTTTCGGTAAAGTCACGTAGGTAGAAAAATAATAGATCACGACATTTCGATCGCAACACAAGCAATCGTCATCAGGTCGGACAACCACAGCAAGAAAAACCTGCTGAAGTAGGCGAGAGATCTGCCGTGACATGAGGTTATATAGTAGGCCTCGGCAGTAGGGGGGAGAGAGAAGGAGGCGGTAGGAGGCGGGGCAGAAAGTGGACCCCGCAGTAGCACCCGGGTCACTGGAGTAAAGTGGGCCACCACGGCAGCTCTCCCCCTCTGCAGCCGACCTCTCCAGTGCTGCTGCGGTGGCCCACTTTACTCTGGTTCCTCTTCATAATATCACGTCGCCTATTTATCTAAATATATTACTCTTTCAAGATGTGACTTTTTGTTATTTGTGCTAATGCACAAATAAGGGACCCTCATCAATGTTATCTTGTTTTTACTTGCAGGTAAATATTTGCTATAGAAATTATTCTTTGTTTTAACTTTTAGGGTTGTTTGGGAAGACCTACATATTCTGAGAATGACAATGATCTCTCTTTTATTTTTAACTAGCTTTACTACCCGGCTTCGCCCGGGACTTGGATTTACGACGCCCGGCCGCCTTTGTCTCCCCAGTGGCAATGTTCACACACCACATCAGTTACTCATTTGAGGCTGAGTCTTCCTAGGGGAGGCCCAGGAGCGGTAAAAATAATCGTCACCACTACACTACCGCTCCCCCCACACACACACGCGCGCTAACCATAGGTACACATACACGCGCTTGCAGCAGACACACGCAACTTTCAGGGTGCGTACGGCAGTAAACGTCTGAAATAATAAGCAATGCTGCGCGAAGAACGCCTTAGACCTGCAACACATTTGCATTTCACTTTACCCGCTATCAGCAGGCACACTCCGTTACGCTTCCGCACACGGGTCACATGACATGTGACGTCACAGCTCCCTTGCCGTGCAAAAATAAATGCATTATTGTGCCGACCCCCCCCAAAAAATATACAAAGTAAATTTTTATAATTTTTGCATGGTGAACAGTCTGAAAAGTACCCACATGGCAAATTTCAAGTGTGTTGCATGTCGGGAAGTACGCTAAACATTTTGAACAGACACATAATCACAAATTTCCCTTTTATATATATAGAAGATAAGGTTATTTTTAACGTGCGCTTCAAAGGCTGGGAGAAAATCTCCTTTGAGTAAAAGAGAAAAATATATAATGATATTTGGATACTGCATTATTTGGTGTCTTGATCATCTTTGTGCTACTTTTGCTTTCTCGAGTTCTAAGCTGAATGACGAACGTCTTTTAATAAATAGATTGCAATATTTCAATTGCATCTTAAGGATTCTGTATTAGCCGTGCCCCTTTTGAGCATTCATTATCTGCGGATTCCTGCTACGTTTTTGAAGCAGCCTGCGTTATTCTTGTCAGTGGACAGACCGTCCTCGTCACAATTCGAGGCAAGGGGTCTAATCTGTGAGTGCTGCACTTGGAGTCTCAGTTTTATGATGAACCCTGCTACAGTTCTCTCTCTCTCTCTACGCCTGTCACTGACAACCATGGCACACCATGTTCCTCTTGCTTTCAACATTGGCTTTCCACATATGTATTTGATGTCGGCACAGCAGAAATACCTTGTTCGAGATGACATTGTATGGACGTACGTGATGCTGAAAGATGGGTACAGATTATTGCCTGGAAGGGGGTTGTGTTTCAAGAAGTTCTAGAAGCCACAAACCCGCGGCCGTCTGAAACGCTTTTCCTTCCAATATTAGGAACCCACTTGGAGCTATGCGCTATTAAGTAACCTAGATTGAAAACTCACTTCTTTAGAACTGCTTTTTGTGTTTAGTTTGTTGTCCTTCCTCCGCACCTCCGATTAGCACGATTGGCTACGTACTGGGGACTTGATGATATTTTGTCATTTTGTGGAATTTTTTTCCCACTGGTTTTTTATTGAAGTACCGGTACATTATCACAGACAAATTATGACTAAGATGCCCAAAAATATGCCTTATTGTTGCATAAGTTAATTTGAATAAAGTGATTGCGTATTTAACCATATTTAATAAATATAAATAAAATTGTAAATCCAAGACTGCTATGGCAACCGCCTACTTTCTGGATGAGCATCTCGTTACCTCTCTGCACGGCTGCTGACCCATGATTATTTTCATTTTTAATAGACTGTATTAATAGTGATTCAGCGTGCGTTCCTTCTCCAGAACCCCACCACTGTTGGAAGAGGGGGCCTGCCCACCCACCCAACTGGAGACTAACACAATATACAGTAAATGTTTGGAGGTGACGATAAAAAATGAGTCGTCACCTCTTCCAGGCGAATATCCCATCTCCCCAGACCTGTGGCCCATTCACTCAGGGATTAGATACTACGCTCACTTTATAGGCAGTATAAATGCTGTTAAAATGGTCATTGTCCCTGTACTTATTTTATATGCCCCATATTACTCTTTGTCTTTTTTACTGTGCCCAACTCAATTATTTCTACTTTTATACTTGCACCATAGGAAGGCTCACATTTAATTTAGTTATCGAACAGCCCCATAATTAACAGCTGCAAAGAGAGCACATGGTCTGTCATTTCTGGTTTTATTCCAGTTTTATGTTAGTGAGCTCTCAGTATATTTAGTGGTCATATAATGGCTGCCAGGGCCAGGTATGGAGGGACTGAGAGCAATTTTCAGCCTTTCTCCTCGAATTAT